GCAAACGGTGTTATAGGTGGAAGAAAAATTACATTTTTGATTTAAATTTGATGGCGTGAAGAAAATACTCTTCAGTTTAAAATTAAAACACCTAGTAGCATTTTAAATATTAAATTTTCAATGAAATATTTAAGTGGGTGGAATTTTGATAGAACATTCTTCGAAAAGACAAACAAATTATCGAAGAATGTTTTCATTAAACAAAAATACGTGACAGTTGTAAGATATGCTAATATATGTTTTCCCAAGTTAATTTACCATTGTTATCGTTTTCAGTGATATTAAGAAAATTAAATTAAATTTAACAAAAGAGCATAAATTTGTAAAAGGAGAAAAACTTGACTATTCAGAATACAACAAAAAATACACTGGATAATTTTTTGATAATTCAATAAAAAATTTTGTCATAGGAAATTTTTTTTTCATTAACTCTAATCATAAATACATTTTAGTTTACATATTACAAAATTTAACAATAATCCATTCGGTTTATTGAATTGTAATGTATGAAATAAAGATGTATCGAGCAGTGATTTAATCGAATACCGAATTTTCGACCCAAAAAATCGGCCGAATCGCAACATTTTTTTAAACAAATCACTAATAAATAAAAAAAATTTGTATGTAAATAAGTTTAGTCATTGTTGAAAATGAATCAAAACTTTGCTAAATTATTGGCATGGGGGAAACATAAGGGGGAAAATATAAAACGAAAGGGAAGAAACATAATAGTTATTCATTAGAAATATGTTGTTTCGAACCTCACTTGCCAACTAGCAAGTCAGCTTAGTGAAGCAGAGGTTGCGTTTCTTGTTTTATTTAGTGGTGACATCTATGGACAAGAATACGACTTCACCACACACACACGTCATAGCCCATTTAAAAGCTATGACGTGTGTGTGGTGAAGTCGTTCATACACCCATGTATTAATCCACAAATAGTAATTTAGACCTGAACCAGAGAACGATCAACCTACAATTCAGTACCCCTAGAAGTATTGAATTGTTATGAGAGAAGAACATGTGACTCGGCAGATTTAAAGTGCACCAGTCACCTTTTATTATACGGGAAGTCTTTGGTCTGCGGAGATCGAACTCACGACCTCTTGGATATAGGATCAACGCTTTAGCAACCAAGCTATCCCGAGCTATTAAAAATATTTAAGCAAATAAATAAAATACTAGCTAATAGCAATATAAAGAGAAAAAAAAATACAGAAGTTGTAAAGTTGAAGAAAAAAAAGAGAAATAGGAAGGAAAAATAATTCTCTTAATTCTTAAAACAAAACTTTAATTCTAAAATATTTTTCGCGTATCTATAACAAGTTAAAAGAAATATAGTCTATCTGAAAATGCCCCGCTATAAATAAAATGCCCATTAAAACAAAATATTATACCCAAAAAACGAAACAGAAAAAATAATTGATTTTCAATTCTTAAAGAAAATTTTAAAGCGAAACATCTCAATTTTCCAGTTATTGTTTTTTATTGCAATTTCGTATTTAATGGATCCGAGATAGTTGGATTGGCAGGGCTTTGTACTAAAATTCTTGAGAATGGGAGTTCGAATCCAGGCGGCCGGAGACTCCCCGTGTAGTAAATGGTGACTGGTGCATGTTAAATCTGTAAGGTCACAAACTCCTCCACGTTCTCATTACAAATTATATCTCTGGGGGTACTGCATCTGAGATTGATCGTGCTCTGGTTCAGGTCAAAATAACAATCTACGGATTAATGTACGGTGTGAATGTGTCCTCCCTGAAAAACGAGTTGTGACGTATGTGTGCGACATGTTTAACATGAACAAGAACAATAGCACCCCTAGCCCTAACGGCCAACGACAACAAAAACATCGCATTTAATTGGTATTTTCCAATTATTGTATAAAATCGTCGATAAAAAATTTTTTTAAAAGAAAGAGCTAGATAGAAATCAAAATAAAAATCGTTCATAATTCTTAAACGAGAAATTTAATGCTAAAAATCTCAATAACTTTTTCCAGTTGCCATATTCTTGAGAAAAAAGTGATAGCGTTCATTAAAAAATGCTGGGTCATAATAAAAACGCTGATAAAAAAAAAGTTAATAAGAAAAGAAAAAAAATTGTTCTTAAAATATAATTTAAAGTTAAAAATCATAGTTTTCTATGTTACCGGTTATGTCTTACCGTACAGGAAAAAGTGACAATAAAAGAATAAAGTCTATCAGAAACACTCCGTAAAAATGCCGCACTATAATAAAAACAGAAAGAAAAAAAAAACGTTTTTAATTCTAAATTTGCTGAATAAACGACGAAATTAAATAGCAACATGAATATAATCTGAGATACAAAAAAATCAAAAAGTACAAAACTCGTATTTTAGTCATCTAGTTTCAATGCTTTAAATTTCGCTTTCCCATACATCATCTTTCAGAACAGAAAAATGCAAGTTATAGAACTTAAATATATGCAAAAACTATTTCGAACAATGTATACTACAGGGATGAGATTAGGCAAAAAAGCTGAATTTCCAGGATTTTACGCAAGCGCAGCCCTTCAATAATAAATTCCAGACAGTTTAAGATAATAAATAATGTGTTGACATACAATTGTGTACTAATCTATTATTATATACCGTAAACCGGGGTGAGTCTACCCATTTTTTCAGTTTGCCAACTTTCAAGTGGTCAAACTTTTGTAAATATTAAAGAAAAAAGGCTTTTAATAGGTGTTTCGGAATCGCTATTTATCCCTCTTTAGAGCTGGGAAATCGATTTTAGAAAATATTAACAGTTACGCTGTTACTGTATACTTTTATAGAACTGCTGACAAATCTCTGGTATGGGGCGAGTCTACCCATTCGACTTAAATGAATGTTATCATTGTAAATAATCAAATTTTACTATAAAATTGTTATTTTAGTTACTATATAGGATATTTAGGAAGTAAAATTCATAACTTTATTATATATTCCATTTTTTTATTCATAAAATAACACAAATTGAATATTTGATCGATTATCACATTTTGATCACAGTTTTGTTTTTATAATCATTAACATTATAAAATAACATTTTTTTCTGATTATTGTTGATAAAAATAAATTAAAATTAATATTGTTATTGTTTGGCTTTTATCCTTTGGAAAGCTTTTTCCATCTCAGGTGGTATTTTTTTGTAACATTTAAATCCATTTGTTTTGCGAATATAATTTCGAACCATCTCTAATATTAAATAATAATTTATTTAACTTGCATTAAATTAAAAGAGTTAATTTTGTAACATAAAAATTGAAAAAAAATAGGTATAATAAACATATTTTATATTTACATTTATATTTAACCTATNATCTGATTTTCTATAAAGAAATTTTGTGAAAAAAAATTCCAATGAGTACATAGATTTTCTAATTTTTTTAGCTTAACTTATCTATTTTGATATAGAATTAAAAATGAATATTTTAATATAAAAATATATAGATTAAATATTTATTTATTTTTTGATGAATGACTACATTTATAAACACAGTCTGCTACATTTATTTTTTCATTTTAAAAATCAAGAGAAAAAAAAAAGGAAATCACAATTTTAAATTAAAGTTATGGTTTGCTAACTGAAACTTTGTTTTAATAGTTAAAGCAGTGTTTTCACTACAGCGCAAGAACGCGAGAATCTCGCATATTTTTTTCTTTTCTCGCATTAAAAAATTATTACTGCAAGAAATTCGCGCATTCTATAAATCAATTTCGAAATTCGCGAATTTCTCGCATTTTGGAAGAAGCTTCGAATTACGTTATTTAGAATAAAATCCGTTTCACTTTTCTTCCTGGATCTTTCATCATTTTCAACATTTGCTCCGTTATCTAATTTCCCTATTTACCAGTATTGTTCAGAACCTTTTCGAACAACAGAACACAACCGAACCCCTTTCAGAACACATTTCTCTGCAACAACGTGTTTACCGTAAGTAAGGTTTTTTCATGTAAGACGTTCAAATTTTTTATGCACTAATGTAAGATGGACAAATACCTAGTAAAGGCAAAATCTTCTATGATGATGCAGCAAGAATATTCAATGCTTTAAGAAATAGAAGACGTTAAAAATGTATTATAATAAAAGAAATGATTTTTTTTCCAAGTCTATTTGTGTTTTTTTAGTTTTTAGAAATCTCACTTAACTTTCTGAAATCTCACCCTGTTTTTGAGAAAGGGTGAGAAATTCGCACCCATTTTTTTTCTATGATGAAAACACTGTAAAGTAAAGGGGTCTGTCCAAGCCAAATTTACTACCGTTTAACGGTACCTTTACAAATTCAACTTTGGGAAAAATGATATAATAATCACACAAAATAATTTTTCTTAAAATTTTATTTTTGTGTCTCGTAAGAACGATAAATCCATATATTTACTACATTTGTGTTGATTTTTTAATATCATTTTTAATTTTCACAAAATAGGTAACTCTTAGAAAAACCCAGACAGACCCCTGAAGTATTCTTTAAATTCTCTATTTCATCTAGTCTTTAAATTTTAATCATGCATTTGTTTCAAAATGGTTGCTATGCATTCAAAGCCATGTATTATAATGAAAAATTATTTTAGTTAGAGCTTCTAAAATATTGTTACAATATAGTTTTAATATTAAGTTAATTTGATTCAACATTTATAATTTTTTTAATCATAAATTAAAGTTCTTAGTGTTTTTGAATAAAAATCAAAAAAATCTGATTTAAATCAAAAAAATCACGAACCCTGGTCATATATAAAAGTAATAAATACTTGCTTATGTGTGCCATATTCATTAGAACACATATAACAACAAACAAGAACACAAAATTCCAGAGTTAAGGTTCAATTTTCCAGAGTTGTAAACGTTTCATCACAGCGAGTAATAATAGCCCTTCACAGTGTGTTGTCAATTATCTCTTAAAATAAATAGAGTTTCTTACAATTTTATTTTAAAAAAAAAGAGATCATGAAATCGAATTATTTTGTACTATTGCACAAATCAACACAATTTCAATTTGGAAATAATGTATTTTATTTTACTTAAGATAGACATTAGAAAAAAAAGAAAGTGAAGATACAGTCAACATCTATACGAGATATGAAGAGAACAATGTACTAATCATTGAAATATAAAGAAACATCTCATGAATATAAATATATTTACATAAAATTATTTACACTTATGTACACACAAAAAAAGACATCATTCTGTGTACAATGAAACTTCATCATTCTTTTAGTCATAAGAACTAGGAATGATACATTTTTTTAAAGAGCTTTGCAGAATACAAAGAAAATAAATATCCATGCACACATAACGCCTAAACTAATTCATTTTATAAAATGTTATATATTTTAATTCATGATTAGTTTATATAATTTTTAAAATAGACATCATCAACAGGTATAAAACTATTAGGATTAAAGTTCATTAGAGGGATATCTTAACACTATATTTCAATAACCGTTATCAAAACAGCAGAAGAAAATGCATATCAGAATCTATGATAATATGTTATTTATTACTTTCATCATAAAGCCTGCCTGCATCTTAACGATTTTGACTCCTACAATTTAAAAAGCCTGGACTCTTACTATCAGATTACAATTCCAACAGGATTCTGGATGGTTTCATTCCAGCTGCCTCCTCCCCTCTTTCCACACGGAATCGTCGATATTTATTTACTAACTTCCGACATGGCGTAGGTGACAAACTTTCAATCACCCGTTAATGGTTATTCCATTGGAAATGCTGTTTTCTAATCAACACTAATTGTAATTTTTGTGGCATTATTTAGCCTCACCAAATCCAGATATTTTAGTTTTGATTAATTTTTGTCTGAATGATTTTAACTAATATTCAACATGATTTTAATTAATATTCAAATGGACTAAATTGAAAAATTAAGATTAGAAAAATGCTATACTAAGCAAATATTATAGGAACAGTTTACTTCAAATTTTGTTAATGTTTTACAATTGTTAATTTTCTTTACTAATTTAGGAAGTTAAGAAAATTAAAGTCCTTAAGAAAGCTTTTACAGCATTGAAAATTAAAGTACGTTTTAAATAGGCTAATTGTTAACATCATGTCCAGAAAGTTGTTCTAACCGATTCACGCTCATGGTAAGGTTTTAAACATTGTCTGGAATAAGACATTCCATACGTCACTTCTCAGAGGGAATTCATTCCAGGAAGATCGTAGTACGGGTCCTGGGAGCCTTAACTTCAAGTCAAAAAGAGTTACTAACACAAGACAGATTATAAATAGCTTAATATCAATACATTTTTAAAACATTAAAATTCCAAAATGTAGAGGTTCTTATTTAATGTAAAAAAATTGAACCTTTAACACACACCAGTTTTTAAAAGGAAATATTCAACAATCAAAACATGTTTAAAACAAATATCATTCAAAGATTTATTTAAAAATTTATAGGCAATAAAATAGTAAATAACAATAAATAAAACTGAGTTTTCTATTGTGGCTTGCGATAATTTAAATTTATTTAGGAAACTTAAAATGTTTTTTAATTCAAAAGTATTACTATGCATACATTTTTGTCTTTTCGATTTTTTATCTTTGTCGGTGGTGTAATTACAAAAAGAATATTTATAGTTTATGTAAGAAATTAAGTTGTTGTGACTCCCAAAAACCAAAATATTTTTCAAAAGATTCCTCAGCAAAAAGGTTGGGAAACCCTAGTTTAAAAATTTGGAGAACTTAATAATTCCCACAAGAATCGCAATAAAATATTTGTAAAATGGGACATTAACTCTGATATGCCTTATCTTCTTAGAATTTTAACAATCTTATTATTCAATAAAATAACAGCTCAGCCAGACTAAATACAATTGATTACAAACAATTATAATTAACAACTACAATTTTAAGCATGATTAAAAGCAATCAAAATTGTGGATAAAATTTTAAGTATGAATACAAGTAATTGTAATTATTGGTTACTATCTATTGCATGATTACAAATGATCATTGGTTTTAATTTTAAACAGAAGTAATAGCAAACACAATCATAATTGTAAATTACAGCTAATATTGAACTGTAAATATATGCAGTGATTGAAACTTTTATTTTGATTTACAGTCAGGATTTCAAAGTAAATTTAGGACTAATTAATTACAATTTACACTCTGGTAATGGTTGGAGGTTTTTGTAAAATTTGAAATAAAATTTTACTCATTTTTTTTCTCCAATGAAAATATCTAATCACAGTTTTTGTGTCCATATCGCAAAATTATACTTCAGTCATGAAATAAATTAGGTAGCTTCATTCTATATATTTCTCAGAAAACAATTACATTCTTTTCTGGGCTTAGATTTTTGCTATCCATGAATAATATATCTCCAATTCTTTCCAAGAAAGCTGCAGCATGTAAAACTGATTTACCCATTACAGAGAAATACTTCAAAATTGCTGAAAAACTAGGATAAAAAAGAAATGAGAAAATATTTCCAACTTTAATTTAAAGCCACAAAAACTTCATGTTGTTGAAACATGTGCTACCAACACAACCGGTAGATATTTAGTTTAGGCATTATGTGCTAAAACTAGCAACAAAAAAATTTATTTCATTCATAAAATTCCCAGAATTTCCACAATATTGCAAATCATATTTACGCAGCAATTTTCAATCGGAAGCATTTTTTATGTTCTTAAAAAATTTAATGAAAAATTAATTAATAACTAAATAATTGCCAAATATTATCATTTGTAAGATACAGAGTTTTGCTGAAGATTTAAAATATGGATTTTATGATAGGTATTTATAACAATCACAAATAAAATTCATATTTCGCATGAAAAAAGAAAAATAAACATTATTTTACTGTTTTAGTGAATATCCTTGCTGAAAGACAAACAAGGTAATATATAGAAAAATATTTTGAAACAAGTCCTGTATAAAAGTTTATTATACACACACAGTATAACTTCAAAAATCCAGACAACTGGAGGGTTAAAAGGAATCATGAAAACATTCATATTTTAGATACCTTTATTAAAACAATAGAGATGTCAAAGGGAAAATAAAGACTTCATTTATGTAGATTGAATGTGAGTCCAATGTGGATTTAATTGTGGTGGCTTTTTCACTGCTTTTTTTTTCTTGTTGGTAATTATTCTACAAGCATGTACTTGGTTTAACTACTTTTAATTCAATATGATTATAACACCCTAGCAAATGGGAAAATAACTTTTTAAGAGCTCATTCCGTTGTAAATTCACACAATCTTTTTTATATGATTTTTTGGCAGCTATCGCTAAGGCCTTGTTGTTTATGTGCAGTATTATTACAACACATAAATTTCAATTTAAGCAATTTATTTATTTCCCAGACATGCTTGATTTCAATATAAATCCACTCTGCTTTTTGATCATTTTAGGGAAGTTGTTGTTAGAGATTTCAACAGGGATTTGGATATTTTCAGTATATTATTTTGACATTTATGTGCTCTTTTCGAACAAAGAAGTAATAACTTTTAAACTCAGTTTCCAGATGTTTTACATTATGCTGCAATTATAGATAATTCTGATTCGGATAAATCTAGAAAATTTTTTAAATGTTGCAATGAAATTTCTACAATAAAAAATTGAAAAATAAGTTATATTCATTCCATTTGAACTTATTATCACAGGCTAGTTTTTGTTACTGTTCATTTTAAAACTGATTATTTTGTTGCATGCAAAACTTAATTAAAATATAAAAATGACCTTTAAAAAAATTGAATTCTCGTATATTTTATTGGCCATCTTAAAAATTTTGAGACACAGGAGGAAACAGTTTCAGGAGCTATTAAGATGACTCACATAACCGACACATTAATCGAAGTACAGAAACGTTTCTTTTCCATTACAATAATTGTCAAATTATAACACCAGATAAACATAAAAATAACTTTCTCTGTGTGACAGTTTATTAGTATTAAACAACTGAAACTAAATAGGATAGGTTGATGTAGCAAACAATGAAAAAAATATTGTGAAAACCTAGTAGTTATGACAATTTTGGTTTACAAAAACATAATTTAAATTTTATTTTTTTTTTGAAGGAAAAAAAATTGACTAATTTCAGTGACATTTCCATTAATCTTTCTTAAAGCGAAAAAAAAAATTATTGGCAAGAAACATAAAATATTAATTGAAAATAAAATTTAATATTACAACAGTGCAAAATGATACACACAATAGTTAAATGCACAATTCAATTATATTTAAAAAATGAGCATGGTGAGTAAAAAGGAATCACTATTTATAATGAAATAAGTAAAATAATATCAAAATCAGATATAGACTTGAAATAGATTTTTCTTAATAAGAAACTTTGTTTATTTCCTCTCATTGCCTACTTATTATGAGTGCTTAAAAGAAACTCAGTTTATTTTAAGCACTTTTCTTACATTACCTTCCAATTATAATACCATTTATATAAACTATATATTACATCTTCCTTCGTAACAATTTAAAACTATACCTTTCAAATTAATTTTTTAAAGCCTAGTTTCCTATTCAAGTTATAGAATGAAAAATAAGAGCAACAAAGATTATAATAAGATGCAAATGAAATTTCTTACCAAAACTGAATTTAAAAATGATCTAAATTAACATAAATGAAATTAAGGTTTTGAATAAAACTGAGATAATTTACAAGAGTAACATTACCAAGAAAATAAATTAGATTTATTTTTTACTGTAATTTTTTTTTTGTTGATTCATTGGTTTTCAAATAAACAAAAAGAAATATTTAATAACTTCTAACGTTTGTATAATTTTTTTAAGTATAAACAAGTTACCCTTACAAATATTTAAAAAAAAAAACGTCGTTGAGGATATAGTGCAGACGTTTTCTAAGGCTGAAAAAATCTCAAGATTTAATTTATAACTTTTATGATCAACAATAGTCATAAAAAAAGATGATTATTAAAAGATGTTTCCTGAGAAATAATATCAAATAAAATAAGATAAAAATGAATTCGCATAGATGTAATTTATAGTGATGCTTTGCTCTAAGAATTGCGAACCTATATTTTTGCAGTAACACATATTTAGTATTTTTAATAATGGAAAATAAAACATTTGATATTCCCCTTCTATGTTACCTTTTCAAACACTAAAGTATTACTCAATTTGTTTAATTTTGTGGAGGGCAGCCAAGAGTTCATTAAAGTATTTGAAAAATTGCCTTACATTTAATGAAATAAACAAGATTATCAGTACATAAGAAAGAGTTAGTCTTCAAATTGACAAAGACATAAAAAAAAAATTTCTTTCAAAATAAGTGGTTCAATAAATAATTCATTAAGAAATTCATAAATTAAAAAAAAATTATTCCGAAAAATAAGGGGTCAAAAAATTACTAACTTTTGCAGTATTCAAAATTATATTAATCTGTTTTTTCCTCAAAAGCCATCAAAAATATACAATTTAAAACAAACTTATCTTAATTACATACATTTTAGCTGTTTGTAGAAGTAAACATTAGTATTAGATGAATAAACTTACAATTAAGTAAAAAGTCACTCCTTTCTTCTCCCCATAGATTTCAATAAACTTTCTATATAAATTCGAAACTTGAGGACATAATACCCTACAGAAATGCAGAGCTATGTTCACAACACCACCAAGTTTGTTTTTTGCTACTTGAAGCAAAAATGGCCTTAATTTTGCATATTCATTAACTAAAATTATTGAAATTTTTCAGATGAACCAATCATTACAAAAGGAAGTGTGGGGTAACAGAAATATAGTGATTGTGAATCTGGGGTAAGGGGTGCATTTTTTTTACAGCAGATTACATTTTAATTAGAAGTAATAAAAAAAAAAACATTTCTCTAAACAAATAAATTTCCTTAACTTCTTTTTCGGTAAATATAATAACGTTTAACGTACATTAATGCATTGAAAGTCGTAGGTTAGAAAGCTTAAAAATGAAGTAGTTTTAATGCAAAGGAAAGGCTTGTATTAATCTGCTTTTATTATCTGTACCAACTGAAGATTTTTAAAAATGTGTAATGCTAATAATCAACATAAAGGAACATATACATTTTTTAAGAAAAACAAATGATCTCTTTTTTAAATGAAGAGTGTCATTTAATAAACTCCTTAAACAAAAGTTTATGCTGAGTACCAACTTTAAAATTGACAGTTTGTAAGTTATTAAACCATTTAAAATTTAAAGAAAAAAAAAACAGTTTTTTGCAACATGAAATTTTTCTTGGATTAAATTAACATAAGTGTCATGGATAATACACCAGCAAAGTTTATAAATCTAATTTAAAAAGAAATAAAATAATAAGCATAAAAATGAACATTCACAATGAAAATATAAGATAATTTCTAGCATGTTCTAGTACAGTGAATTTAAGCATTTCAATAAAAATTATTTCATATTTAAAAGATAATATTTTAAACTACGGACTGTATGACAACCAGAAATGAGCCATTTTTTAAGCATTGAGCATAAAAGAGAAAAACTCTTCATAGATAAAAACTGTTCTGAAAAACTTTTCCAATATTAAACTGTTTGTTTTGAATATAGAAATCAGTAAACATTCAAAATGCACAGAAATGCATCCTATTCAAAATAAATCAGACTTTTTTCAACGCAAAAATAATATTTTTAAAAAAATTTTAAACCTCCAAAACAAATTTTTTTGTTGAAGACTTTGGCAATTAAAACTTTTGTTCAGGATCTTTCAAAATTCTGCAATATTTCTTTGGGGAAAAAAAACAACAACTTTAAAACTAAAAACACTTTTCCTGTTAGATCGTGCATGGTCCTTTGCAATAAGCAAATTTAACAACATGAAAAGCAATGTGAAGAAATCTAATCACAGTTCAGTGGTCCATCAAGCACAGCTGTTAAGGAGAAGTGAATTAAAGAATCTGTACATCACACACACATATATATATATATATAAGCAGAGCATACACAGGCACCAGGCCCTACATGAGTTAACAAACAGTCAAGTATGCTGCTTCCAAAAAAAATTATGTGTTTATCTTTTACCACAAGACACTTGGGGAAAATCCAAGGAAAGGAATTCTTACTTCAGCACGGAAGCAGAGTGCTAGCACCAACATTCAGTAACTGAAATAACAACAGATCAACATTTTATGATTTTTATCAATACCAGCAATTATTCACTCATTCACTGAAACAATGATTTCTATCTTAGAGAACTTTTAAATTTAAGCCATTAAAACAATTATGCCATGAAAAGAAATCAGATTTCCTTAATTTAAGTTTCAACCTTTAACATTCAATAAAAATTTGCCTCAAAATGGTTACATTTTTTATTTTCTTTAAATATACTATCCGTCCATACAAATGCTTACGTTGGAGAATTTATTGATGCATTTATCACTTCCTTAAAAAAAAAATTATGAAAAAAATTCTAAAACTGAGTTTTAAAAATTAAAAAGGCATTAAGCACAAGATTAATCGTTGAAAACTGCTTTAAAAACTTAGTCACTTCAAAAATAGGTTTTATGACTGGTATAAAGGTACCAAACATTACTCTAAGAGCCGTGATGGCTCAGGAAATACAGCGTTTGCCTTCCAATGAGGTGAATTGGGTTTGAATCCCAGCAATTGCTGGTCGATACGAGTTCCGTACCCGTCCACGATGCTGACGTAAAATATCTTCAGTGGTAGACGGATCACGAGTTAGGGTCCCCCTGCTGTCGGGCTAACCGCGGGAGGTCTTCTCGGTTTTCCTCGTCATGTAATGCGAAATCAGCTTAGTTCCCTCAAAAAAAGTCCTCCACAAAGGCAAATTTCTCCCAATACTCGATCCAAGAGTTCCCTTGTCTTCTAGATTGGGATCAAAATTGCAAGACTATGGAGTTCAGCATGAGAAATCAAAAACCTTAAGCTGGGTCGCATATTTAGCGACGGTTATAAAATTATTTCTCTGAGCCCAGAAAAAATCTTCAGTATCACAAAATTTTTAGTCTTTCTTTGAGTTTGTGATGTTAAGGTTTAACAATTCTACAAAAATTTGGATTTGAAGAAAAAAATTTAAAATATTTTATAATTGATAACATACAATGTTATATTTACTGTTCCATTTGCATTCTTCTTTGGAAAGCAACAGTCTCTTCAAATACAAGTTCTTTCAAGCGCTCCTTAGGAAGATCATCCAATTCCATTTCAAACCTAAATGGTTCTTCAGCTACAGGCTTTGGAAGAAAACAAAATTAAAAAATCATAATACAAAAATACAACAACAAAAAAACATATTGATCTTGAACATTTGGAATACACAGACCCAGAGGAGGTCTGAAGAAAAATCTACACATTTTAGAAAACATTGTTTTTTAATACAGTATACATATACCAAACTGTTTTCAAAAAGGCGAAAGGAGAAATTAAAAAAGTATAATTTGTTCAATTTAAGAGTAACAAAAGAATGTTTAATTTCTGCATTATTTTGATCAAATCAGAAAGGTTTAACAGCATCTTGTATGACTACATTAATGCAGCACTGAACAACTCATAATAATTAAAGATCAATACACAGAATATTTTTATAAAACTGTTAAATAAAATAAATAAAAATAAAATATTAATAGTAAATATTTAATTACAACAATACTAAATTGAAATTTGTAAGTGAATTCAAGACTTCCTTCACTAAATTTTAAAGTTGAGCTTCAAAGTCTCAAAATGAAAATACAGTGAAAAATATTTTTGTAGTAATTTAGCAGATGACCTCGCCATTTGAAAATTCTTTCATTAATGCATTGTTCATTGAATTCAATCATTTTTAAAATCAGTTGAAAAAGATGAATTATGAAACTAAAAACCTCCACTCTGCAAGATTTGTTAATGGGTAAGGTAAAAATAATAATTAAGTGCACAACCCCTGCATCGGTCATCAAAAAAATTTGATAATATAAAATTGTTTATCAGAAAAATTAGAACTACCAAAGCAACTACAACCACTGGAAAAAACAGATTAGTTTAATTAGCACTATTTAATTGCAATTAAATAGTTTACTACACAATTATGAAAACTTTTCTCTCATAAAAGGAAACTTAATAAATCTCTCAATTTTAGTTACGCCGAAATAACAAAGACAAGAACAGAATTCCAATATCATAAATAATGATACTTACAAACGTTCAGCAAAAATAAATTATCACACGCTTTAAATATTAACATTTTTTAATAAGGAATTTTTTATACACCAACTAAATTAATAAAAGAAAAAGTTAAAAATCAAATTATGCAAAAATGTCTATGTATGATGAAACAAAAATAAGTAACAGTCTGTAAAACTTTCAGTATGACTTGGAGATAAATTACTCTACCTTGAAGTAGATGGAAAAACGTATATTGTAATTTCCTGCATATTACATGTTTTAATCTGCAGGAAGGAACTTCAGCCAAGAAGGGAAATTTGCAGCAGATAGCATTGATTCAATTAACCCAGTTGTGCCTTATTGGGAAAGTTTTTCAAAAAAAGAAATGTGGTACCACATGTTTCATTAATAGTATTAATTTTGGAAAAACAAAGAAGTTCTATAAACTGAAATATATCATTGGCTTAAATATTTATATTTAGATCCAAAGTCTTCTTAAAAGGTAAAGTGAAACGAAACATCCACTAGGTAGGAGTAAGCAAATATGAACTACCACTTTTTTTGTTGTGGTGTTTTTCATACATTAACTACTTCTTGAGGCCAGGCATTAATGAATTAATGCAGAAAAAATAACACCGAATTCCAAAGTCTCTCCCACCAACCCAATCTACCCTCAGATGTGAGCGAATTTATACCATATATGAGCCAATAGGCAAAGAAACGGACACCGATTATGATTAACTTTTATAGCTGTCGGAAGCAGATAGGAAATTCGTGATGCTCCAGATTACCCACGGTGGCAGATTATCCGCAGTGAGGATTTTAGTGTTTATTTAACGTGTAACTGCAGTCAGAATAAACAAGTTGACCAAAAATACTCAGATAAGAACCTTCTTGATTTTAGAAACTTGTGATATGAAATGTATAATTAGTTTTTCAGTAATGACTTTTTCCATGAATAAAATGCTTTTACTTGAAATGAACGTTAAAAATAAACATTTTTTAAAAGAAATTATTACAAGACCAATTTTTTTTTTCACTGGACCACATTTTAATGAAATTCCATACCTGCCAACATTGGAGAAATAAAATAACGAAGATTTCACAAGTTAAATTTTTTGGGCTATGTGTAAGTCAAAAAGAGAAATTCAAAATTGGAAATAATATAAGCACTTACATTTAGCAAAGTAAAAAATGTGTAAATAAATCTTAATCTAAAAAAATTTTTTTAAACCATTATTTATAATTACTTAAACTTTAAACACTCAACAACAAACAATTTTCATAATTTTAAGTAATTAGCTTCATTTTACAGAATTTTTACATATTCATATTTCAAACACAAGTAGCTGATTTGGCTTTGCATAGGAAAATTTTATCAAAGTTCTGTTCGTAATAGTTGCCAGAGAAATTACTTTTCATTAAAAGCAAGCTTTCAAGCTTTTCATCTAAGTAATGAGTGAAATTTGGAGTGTTTTTTTTTTTTTTTTAACTTTAGAAAAAATTTTCTGCCACTCTGCATTGCTTGTGGAATGCACAAGATACCTAACAAAGCATCCGCTATATTTTTGAACTGTTTAATTTTTATATATACAGTTCATTTTCTAGTTGCCCAATTGACACCCACAATAAACGAATCTGAAAACAGAAACACATTTAGGCTTTGATGATCGTTAGAAATGCAATGCAAACAAAAGAAGTTATTGCCAGATTAGGTAAATAATGAAGCTCCTTATTGGAGAAAAACAGACTCACAGCAACAGTCTCACTACATCCGGTTTATTCGGCGTAACAGCACATGAACTGCAATAGTGCCATCAGTTGAGGAATAAGGGAAGTATTTTTGTCATTAGTGGAAATTTAACATTTAAAAAAGAAGTTTTCTTAAAATTTCTTCAAAAAAACAGAGAAATTGAAGAAAATATGGGTAAACGGGAAATAGTTGTAAAATACGCTTTGTAAAAAGAAAAAGAAAAAACAGGAGACATGGCAGGTATGAAATTCTAGGATATTTAAATAAATTCTCTGATTTTATCAGATTTAAGTAATTTTCTGTTCTGTGGTCACCCTGGATAAATAGTGCTCTAATGTGTACCAAAGGAGCATAAATAAATTATTTTGGAAGCAAAATACATACCTCATCTTCAGGGTCATAATATTCAGTAAAATACGGATGACTCAGAGCATCTTCAACTGTAACTCTCTTATGTGGGTTAAAGGTGAGCATCTTATCTAATAAATCCAAAGCTAGAATAATAAAACTTACGTCAGAATTAAAATTGAATCATTAGGGTCATAAAAAAGTTTATTGAATTGGAAAAATTTCTTGAAGAGTTTTTTTTTCTTTCTTTTAATATTTTAATGTTAATTTTTTCCCAGCTGGCATACTTGCTTACAAAAAATTTCATTTAATTAGTGCATTGATTTCACACTCAACATATTTAAAGATTTTTAAATCAACTACATGTTTATCAGTTCTTTACAAGGTTGGCAAGTTTTTGACAAATGACAGTTTTAACTAGTGATGTAACGAATAGTGATTAGGCCGAACAGCTAAATATCTATTAGAAATACAGCAGGGAACCGATTATCCGGAAGGATGGGGACCATCGCTATTCCGGATAACTGATTTTTCCGCTTTTCTGAATTGCTACAAAAATCCGTTTTTTTATTGTTAAATCCAACTAAAAAAAAATATTTGGAAATAATCTTAAAAAGAAGAAAAAACGATGAAGTAATACTCTAATGATTACTTCCAAAATGATGGTAAGGTAAACATTTTTCATGAAAGAACGAAAAATCCTGAAATCTTATGAGGAAAAACACATGAAAAAAAAAAAAAGGGGGAAAATATATGGAATTTCGTTCTGGTTTTTTGGTTTTCCGATTTCCGGATAATGGGTTCTGTACTGTACTTAATATAAGCAAAAAACTGACAGACAGCTAATAAAAAAGTAAAGTTGAATGAAAGAGAAATAAAATAAATCCTCTTAGTTCTTAAAACTAAACTTTAATGTTAAAAATAATAATTTTATTTTATTAACTAAACTTTAATGTTAAAAATAATTATTTTATTATGTAACCGTTGTTGAACAGCCGATCCAATTTTGAGCAAAGCCGCACAGTTTTTTTAACAATAAAAAATTCTGTAGGAATTATTTTAGGCCAAAGATTTCTCCAGGGCTGCCTGACTTTCCCCCAAAACCTTCTTTGTACGATGGAACACATTCTACTTCCCTGATATAAGTGATGGCAACTAATATTGAGAATAAAAATAACTTTGTAAGTAGAGATCAGATAATTATTGGAGACTACTTTGGTTTTACTAATCTAAAAAATCTACCTAAATTGTGGCATAAGAGAATTAAAATCAATATTTAGATAGATAACAATTAACAACTTGTAGTTACTACCTGCAATATAAACTGAATAGTATTGTTATAATATAGCAAATAATATTAGTCTTAATGTATTAAGAGTGCCATGTTTTTCAGAAAACCAATTAATAGTTTCAGCTATATTTTTTATACATAATATACAAGCACACCGGACAAAAAATTAGTCACCCCTAGAGAAATCATGAAAAACATTTAATAACGTGTAACACTGCCTCTGGATTTGATAACCACCAGGGATTCAGTTAGGAAGTGAGTCCACAAGGTTTTACAGGTATGTCGAATCCAGTTTAAGCTACTCACTGAGGATTTGATCCTAGAAATCCACCAAATTGAGAGTATTCTGATTTGGGCGCTTTACCCGTTGTTCCAACATGCCCCACAAATTTTCAATGGTGTTCAAGTCAGGTGATATTGCAGGTCAGTCGAGATGTTATTAAGTGTCTGAGTATTCATAAAACCAGTTACATATTCTTCCAGCCTGATGATAATTGCTGTTGTCCTCTTGAAAAATAGGGGTATCGACAGCATCCTCTTCATGAAGATGTTGACTGAAAGGCAGCAGCTGATCATCCAGAATGTTCAAACATGTTGGTTCATGTTAGTAGCCACCTCGGTAAGGTGGCCCAATCCATAATAACAAAAAACACTCCAAAAACCTGAGAGACCCACCTCCGGCTTGAACCTGATCTTGCACAGAGTCAGGATGAAATGCTTCAGCTGGTCTTCGGTGCACTCGACAACGTGCGTCATTTGAATAAAGGCAAAAAGGCGATTTGTCAGACCATAATACATTCCACCAGTCAGCAACTGTTCGCGTTTGCTGATTGTTAGCCCACTTAAGTCACCCAGCTTTATGTGCCTGTGTGAACAATATCCTCTTATGAGGTGTTCGACTCCAAATGTTTATTGCATGCGGCTCCCTTCGCAATGTTCTCTCATTAAAACGTTGGGATGGACTTTTATTCACTAAGTGAAGCAATTCCTGTCGGGTTTGGAAATGATTTTAAATGGCAAGTCATGAAACAGGTCTCCGATTCTTTTCATGTAGGATCTTTCGTGACTATGTGTATTACACCACTGCATGTAGACATGTTGAACATCCTGCATCGAAACACCAACAAATCCAGCAACTACATTCAGTCACTGTATGACCACTGCCAAACACAATTACTGCTTTTTGCCACTCTGTCACATCCTTACACTTACCCATATTTACACACAATTTCCGCTTAAAACAAGAATGTCTTACTGATGGCTACTTGCCTTTGATCACAATGCAATGTTTGAAGAAATGCTCAAACAGTTGAGCACGTCACTTGACCACTGCGTCATCTACTGAAACCAAATGATTTATGGGTGCCAACGCACTAGGGTGACTAATTTTTTGTACGGTGAGCTTATATAATGCAATTATTGCATATGAACTACTGTAAAAAATAAAAATAAAAAAACTTTTTTTTCTTCAGATTCTGATATTTTTAATTTGATGTTACTATAACACATTAATTTAAAATTAGAGTTAAAACTTTTGAACATATTCGATTTGCAATAAATCAATTCCTTACCAGTCATTTTTGTTCCTTCCTTTCCACACGATTTTGATATTATTAATGCGATGTTATTTCAATGGGCAAATTTAAAATTTGGTTCTTGAAGTGCCAGAAAAGAATGACTTTTGATAATTAATAACAATAGTAAATTAATAATGATTTGTTGAAACCAAACTTTATAGAAAATCTGTAATATCTATTTAATGTCTTACCTTGAACATTGGCTGAAGGATACAGACTTGTCCATGGAACCTTAGGTTTTCTAGGCAAAGACTGCAAATATGTACGAGCCTGTAAGGACAATTTAACAATAAGTTTCAAAGGCATCAAAATACTTCAAACATACTGGCAGACAAAGTAATACCAGAGCTACAACAGCCTGTTGACACCATTTTTTAGTGGTTTAGCTAACTAGCCATGGCTAAATTTAAATATTTTTACTAAATAAAAGTCAACTATAAATCNAAAAGGGGGGGGAAATAATAAGTAAAAAATAACAAACAACAGTTTATTAAAAATAATAATAAATAAAAAAAATTAAAAAAATTTAAAAAAAAAAAAAAAATCATGAAATGTTAATTAAAAAACCGGAAAAAAAGGATATAATCTTTTCTTCAGCCCACACGATTATATCCGCAAAACAGAGTGCTTTCTGATATTGTATCAATAAAGCCAAAGCTAAATAAATTAATACAATAGTGAGAGGAGCACTCAAAAATTTTTTTTTAAAAATAACAACAACATGTAACATGTTAATTCAAAGGAGGAATTCTTTACGGTGCTTAATATTAACCCTTCTTAATGATTGTTAATATTCAGGGGTGATTGTGAGCCCAAGTCAAAATTCCGGAAAATTTGAGTTAAAAAACAAAAACAAAAAACAATTTAAATTGAAAAAAATTTAAACAAGGTTTTTTTCCTATATTTCTTAGTTTACTTAAGATATATTTAAAATTTTACACATACCTATACCATTTACACATAGCTACGATGACCTGGAGAAGTAATTAAAATTTACAAAAATGCAGGGCTTCAAGTGCTGCGCACATTGCGCATTTTGCGCCAAATCGGTATATTTGCGCATTACTGCACAGAAACGGCATTTTATGTTAAATTTGCGCCGAATCTGCGCCAAACAATTTTCGGGGACCAACTAAACATTGCCAAATTTTAATAGCATAAGATTTTTTTTTTCTCTTGTTGATTTCATCGTTATTGAAGTGCCATCGTCTTCGTCAATGGCAAGCTAATAGCCTTCTTGTGCTATTATATTTATAGATTAGTACCATGATCTTTGAATTAACTAGGGGACCATCCACTAAGTACATATTTTCATGTTGATCCTCAGAACAGTCAAGAATCATAAAGCTTCATAACTTCAAACTTTCAATCTCCCTTTTATTCATTTCATTTAATAAAGATAAGAATTAATTGAGTTTCATAACGTAATTTTTTTCTGAGGGACCATCCACTAATTGCATATTGTTTTCAAACAATTATTTAACTTTATTACTTTTTTTTACTTTATTTGCATTTAAAAATAATTGAATTTTTTTTAATCATTTCATTAATAAAATACTTTATAAGTAACCAATTTTAATAAAAATTAATAGGGGCCATTCACTAATTTACATTTGTAATATAAATTTATTAAAGTTTTCTTTATTTGCTTAATTCTTTACATATTTTTATAAATTTGGTATGATCAATATTAATCTTGTTAATGTTTTGTTGAATATACTATTACAAATAACATTTATTTAAATTTTAAGAAAATTACACTCGATGACCTTAAATAATAGTTAAATTAATTACAGTTTTGAATTACCTTTTACAGAATTAAATAAAGTAATTATTAATTTAAAAAATAGTATGAGCCATTTAGTATTGAATTTATTTAAATTTCTTTTGCCGAAAGCTCTTTTTTTTTAAAGAAATATTTCTGCAATTAGGTCTTTTAAAAACTGAAACACCATTGATTCACTTGCTGTATGATGAAATGTTGTTCCTAGTTAAAGTATTGTTAGGGCGTTTTTTGAAGAGTTCTGCTTTTCATGTTTGTCAGGAAAGGACTTAAAATCATCGGATGTAGAAAACGCAGAAATCTGGCAAAATTAAAATTTAATGGATGTATCTTCTTCAGAAAAAAAATTATGTATTTAGGTGGAAGGTCTTTTTACTTGGCATGCGCAAAAAAATTATTAAAAGTATTGCCTCTTAAAAATAGATTACTGTACCATCTTAAAGTGTTGCATCCTGTAATGAGAATGGAAGAAACTTCTATTAAGTCAATAAGATATCTGGCAACAGTTACCCCATCCATTATAAAATCTGGAGAGACATCTTTGTTACTAGATGAAGGGACAAGGTTGCATGGAGGACCAGAAAGTTATTCTTCTGACTCAAATGAATATGCACAGATTGATGTGTTTTGGAAAAACTATTTTGTGAAGAAAGATAATTTTGGGAAATATCAAATATCCTCTTATAACATAGCTCTTTTGTGCGTACCACATGGGAATGCCGATATTGAAAGAGGTTTAAATGTGAACACAAAGCTACTTGACAATAAGGCAAGTTTAAATTTGCATAGTGTGAATGGTTTGAGAGAAGTTGTGTCATATATCAACAAAATGGGGTTTAAATAACTTTAAAGTTGACAAAGATATGATTAAAGTGGTTCGTGTAGCATTTAAAAATTATTCTTCTCGATTAGAGGTTAAGAAAAAAGAAAGAAAAAAGCGAAAAACACTGAGGCTGAGGAAAGCAGATTGAAAGCTGCTGAAATGGATTTGTAAAAAAATTGAAGGCTTCTCAGGATCTCTTAGCCGCAGCTGAAAAAAATATTAAAGATGGGTAAAATAATAAAGACATATCGATTATAGAAAGCGGATAGATCCTCTTATCTGAGGCTAAGTCGGGGATAGCAGAATATTTAACAGCATTGGAAGGTACCAAAAAGAAACGTAATTTGTTAATGCAGGGACCTTCAAAAAAGTGTAAAAAATAAGATATGTTATTAATGAACAAAATTAAAAATTCTTGTTATTAAACTCTTGTTTTAATTCTATGTATTAACTATGCTCCAAATCTTTGTTTTGCTGCTCCAAAATTGCTTTTTTGTTACTCCAAAGATGCTCCAAAACCATGTTTTGCCACTTGAAGCTCTGTTGGTAAAAAGTATATTTATAAAAGTATATGCATAAAAAAAGTGATTTTAATAGTAGATATATTTTTGTGTGATTCTTCTCTGATGGTTTGTAGGTCATAAACGTCTTGAGCCCCGATCTTTTACAGATGAAGATATGGCTGTATCTTTTGCTAAAGATTATATGTTTATGGGATGCATAAAGTTTATTAATCAAGTAAGTTTTTTTGGTGTAGTGTAGTATATCTTACTTTAATATTTAATGCACCTTATTATTACCGTATTAAACTCTTTAGCAAGTTTACTTTTGGTAAACACAGATTTCATGTGCAATAAAATTTAAATTTTAATCAATTAACCTTAATATAAGGAAATTAATATTAACATGTGTCATCAGTTTAAAATTATGACTTTTTCTCAATTGTTTAAAGCCTCTACAGTATATTTTTGTCTCAAAATACACTATTAATAACTCTAATTTTTTTTTTATTAATAAATTGTTTATACAATTTCTTGTTTCCTTTCTCTTTTAGACTTTTTTCAAAAATAGGTAATTTCTTTTAAAAGTAGCTTTTTACATCATCCTTTAAGAAGTTTCAGCAGAAAGAATGTTATTTCTAAACTCATTCCATTCCTCAATCACCAAATTTTTTTTAAGAAATAGATATTTTTATTTTTTTCCGCCCTCCCGCATGCTTATTAATTTTAATTTGTATATATTTCTGCAGATATATTTTATACGATTTCAGTTGATTTTGAATTGGCACCCATGTAACTAGAGATTGATCACTATGCATTATAATTCAATTCATAATATTATAATTATATTATATATTCTGTTTAGTTTCTTTTATTCTGTTGTGCCTTTATTTTACAATTAGTTTGAATTATTTGTTTGATAATGGTTTATACTATTATATTTATTCCTTAAAGTTTTTCAAGTGCAATATTTTATTCTTTATATGTATATTGATATTTTATTTATTCTTTATATTTACATTGATTATAGTTGTTGATTAAAATTTTGGAGGGAATCTATGCTTTGTTTAAAAATGTTCAAGATTAAAGCTAAGAAAAGGACCATAACACATGTGTGGCACCCAAAGCTTTCTGTGTGATAAATATCCCTGCCCCATCCTTGAACAAACAATTAGAATTTTTATCAATTTTAATTTTTTAATTCTATTTTTAATTCTATTTTAAATTTTATTTCAATTCAATTTTTTTAATGAAAACTCTCTAATTGAAATAGTTTTTTTTAATTCATTCTCAAAGAAAAAGGTACCAAATGCCAGGTAAAAAGTACCTCTTCCCTGATTGTCATTTTAAATTTCTGAATGACTGCGCATAAAAATAAAAGTAGTCATCGGTAAAAGTATAATAGTTATTACATTTATCTACTTTTAAAAATAGTTGGACATGGGAACATGGAGTGCTCCGTGAGTTGGCAGATTTAACATGCACCAGTCATCCTTTACTACACGTGGAGTCCTTGTTCTGGGGGGCCGAACTCCCGACCTCTCGAACATAACCTCAACCAACCAGTCTATTCTGCCTCTCACCCCCCAAAAAAATCTAACAAAGGGATGAAAACAGATCAGAATAAATGTGTACAAACTAGTACATAATATGTTTTAGTTGCCCATCTTTTGGACTAGTGAATCAAATGTAATTCCCCAAATGTAATTCTAGTTAATGGTCATATAATAAAATCGTGTGGGCATTAGATTAATGTTACAACTCCAATTCAAAATATTACGTTATTACAATATTATGTTATCACATTCTACATGTTTTGTAGATGAACGTAACATAAATAAATTATTGTGATAATGCAAAAGTTTTTACAATGAATTTTTTCTAAAAATTCAAAAAATTAGAATAATTTTCACAGTGGTTCAAAAAATTAGAATAACATGAACAAAAATAGCATAATTCATTTAAATGAAATCTGCATGAATAGTTAATACTTAGTGGCATCTCCCTTAGCTTTAATAATGTCACGCAAACGATTTTGCATACGATGCACTACTTTTTTGCAGTCATCTTTGCTGATAGTTGCCCAAACGGATTTCACGCTTTCTATGAGTTCATTTTTGTCCTTTGGAGCTAAATCCTGAAGGCGTTTCTTCATTAAACCCCATATATTCTCGATGGGGTTCAAATCGGGTGAATTGGCCGGCCAAGGAAGTAATTTGATTTTATTGTTAGTAAGCCAAGTAGTGGTGCCGTTTGACGTGTGGCAAGATGCAGAGTCTTGTTGGAAGATAAAGTCTTTCTCAAATAGATCTTCCGATGACGGAATCATAAAATGTGCAAGTACCTCCTTGTATACTTCAGAATTTACCCTTCCTTTCAAAATGCACAGCTTTCCTAAGCCCTCAGCACCCATATACCCCCAAATCATTACAGAAGTGCTGAACTTCACTGAGCGTTTCAAGCAATCTGTGGTAAAAGCTTCTTGCTTGCAACGCCAAACACGGACACCCTGATGACCGTGGGAAACGCAAAACATCGATTCATCGCGAAAAAGTACGTTATTCCAGTCCTGAATACCCCATTGCAATCTGTCTTTGCACCACCTCACTCTGGCTCGTTTTTGCTGGCGTGTAAGTATGGGCTTTTTCTTGGGCACACGTGATTGAAAATCAAGTTCATGGAGTCGTCGTAGTGTGGTAGATGTTGAGGCATCCACTCCTTGTTCTCTCCACTTTCTACTTATGAATCTCAAGCTCTTGAAGCGATTTTTAGTGGCGACACGTTTCAGCATTCTGTCTTGTCTCAGTGTGGTTATTCATTTACGACCACTATTTGAGCGATTATTTTTAAAACTTTGATTTGTAGAATAATCATTTAAAATTTTACTTACTGTTCCTTGAGAGCAATTCACTTTTTTGGCATTCATTTGTTTACTAATTCTCTCATTGCGTAGAGTCATAATCGCTGTCTTGTTAGTGTCCGGTATGTCTTTCGTTCGACCCATTTTAACTCCCAACTAACTAAATCTGATTTTCAAATGAGCCTTTATACGCGTACTAGCTCTACAGTGGCGCAACTTATGCAAATGTTATGATTAACGTTGACCAATCACACTATTTTACAGATATTCTAATATTTTGAATCGCCTCTGGAAATATTTTAATATTTTGAAAAATTTCCATATTTTTTTTATAAAATCTCTAATACTTCTTTAGGCGCGTGTGAACAATAATATCATACGTCAACTAATTGTGGACGGTTAATAATTTTTCCGTTCGCCACCGTTGTTTATTTTTAAAGATATCACGCATTTTATAAGGTAATACAATGCCTTTTTTGGTTATTCTAATATTTTGAATTGGAGTTGTA